GTAGAGAACAAGGAAAATGAAAGTGGAATTCAGCATGCTTGCAGTATTTCCGTGGGTAGAAGAAGTGGATATTCAGAATAAAAAAGTGTGTAAAGGGACATAATCAAGAGGCAAAATATAACGGCAATATCGGTGTCATACCATATATATACACAGATACAATATTATATTCATAAAAGTGTGTGTTGTGTGTGTGTGTGTGTGTGTGTGTGTGTGTGTGTGTGTGTGTGTGTGTGTGTGTGTGTGTGTGGTGTGGGGTGTGTATGTGTGTGTGTTTGTGTGTGTATATCTGTATATATGTATATGTGTGTGTATATATATATTATATATATTATATATATATATATTTATTATATATATATAATATATATTATATGTATATTATATACTATATAAATATATATAATATATATTATATATATATATATATAAATAATATATACAATATATATATACATATTATATACATAATATATATATACATATATATATACATATATATATACATATATATACATTATATATATATATACATATATATATATACTTATATATACATATATATATATATATATATATACATAATATATATATTATATATATATATAATATATAATATATATATAATATATATTATATAATATATATAGATATATATATATATTTATAGATATAATATTCATATTTAATATATAATATATATATATATATAATATACATATAATAATAATATATATATATAATTATTATATATAATATATATTATATATTATAATATATTATATATATATATATAATATATTATATATATAATATATTAATTATATATATAATATAATATATGCTATATATATATATATAATAACATATTTAATATATATAATATATATATATATATATAATTATATATTATATATATATATATATTATATATTATATGATATATTATATATGTATATATATTAAAATTTATTAATATATATACCATATATAATATATAATATATATACTTATGCTATATATATATTAAATATACTATATTGATATATATATATTATTATAATATAAATTTATATATATATGTATATAAGTATATAATATCATATAACTAACTAAGTAAATACAATATATTAATATATATTATTAATAAATATAATATATAAATATATAAAATATATTATATAATATAAATAATACAATATATATAAATAATAATATGATATATATATATATAATATAATATATATATTAATTATGTATATATATATTATATATATATATATTATATATATATATATATATAATAAATATATTATATATATATAATTAATATATAATAGTATATTATATAATATATATATATATATATAATGTAATAATATATAATATATTATATAATAAAAATAACATAATTATAATATATATATAATATATA